CAGAAACCCTCCTCCTTCCCCAGCTCCACCTGTATAGATCTGCTACAGAGTAATTTCATGTATGTTATGCATATGTTATATGTGCAGCAGCAGTATTTCTAACATGCTCACAGCAGCATGTTGTGGATGTATTGGCAGTAGAAAGTCTCGGTACTTGCTCTGCAGCAGCAGCAGATCTATTCCGCCAAGACCAAATACATTAACATTGTAATGTACATTACAATGCCAATCCCTCTGACAGTTGTCATGACAAAACTGCTTTTCTAGGCAAACAGTTTATCAATTAGTGAATAACATGTTTTCAAAAACATGTAATCTTCAACTTTCCTTTTAGATTGATATATTTTTAGAGTTTACACAGAAATGCAGAAATGCTGGTTTATGGGAGAAGTCTTGGACAATTTTGCGACAGGTAGGATTCAGTTTACGGCACTTCTCGTTCATTTCTATGGTATCCGAAAACAGTGATTGACTGTCGCAGAACTCTGACAGAAATCCAGTGACATTACTAATTGGTTATCAAGGCACATGTGATCTAATTTGGCCGTTTCTCTGCAGACCTTGGTGTCGCCCAATAAAAAAAAATCATCTCTGGTACAGCTATCCACTTTCATAACCATATATGATGATGAATTCCACTTGCTTAACTGTAGGGGGCTCTAAAATCGCAAAAGTAAACAAAACAACATAGACTAAAAAATGCTGGGTTGTTTCAACCCAACTTTGGGTCAAATATGGACTAACCCAACTTCTGGGTTAAAAATTTAATGTAAAAATGTAACCCAAGAAAAGATGTCGTTTTAACCAGAAAACATCTCGTTATTACGAGAAAAGATGTCGTTTTAACGAGAAAACATCTCGTTATTACGAGAAAAGATATCGTTAAAACGAGAAAACATCTCGTTATTACGAGAAAGGTGTCATTAAAACGACATAATTGAGTGGAAAAAATAATATGTGTGCAGCAGCAATGCGTCACCGTAGGTTAGTCCATATTTGACCCAAAGTTGGGTTGAAACAACCCAGCATTTTTTAGAGTGTACAGTTGCTTTAATGTTTATTGTTACATAATTAAAAAAAATTAGCATTATATTGTACAAAAAAAAAAGCTAGTAAAAAGTAGTGAAGTTAGCAAAGACCAAGATTTTTGCACTTTAAATAAATGACACATTTCGCTTTTTTTTTTTCCGTTTGCCTCAAATCGTATGGATGATGTTAGATAAAAAATCCCATAGATTTATATCAAGAAACCAAATGTAATAGAGAGCTGGTAGTGGGCAACCAACTAGTAATTCCCTAGCCACTGCATAATAACATGCTGGAAATAAACCATGGCATTGTGAAGGCGAATTTTGCATTTTTTTTATATACAAAAAATGTAATTTACTTAAAGCGTATGGGTGTAAATCTGGTATCCCAGCCAAAATATCCACTTAGACAATGAGCAATGACCATTTTGTCACACTACAGTGTAAATGAGCAGCCACCAAAATCATAAAAACTAACATTCTGTTCCCTGGAACTCTTTACAAACATTTGTTATAATAAGTCATGAAAGAGTTTAAAACGGTGACACAATGACTTCTCAAACTAATAAATGAAGGGTGAACCACAATAACACATTATGAGGCAAGGGATTGTTTCACTCACATTTTGTTTTTAATTAGATTTAAGGGAAATTGACACAGAATTACACTTTGAACATTCCCCTTTATTCCAACTTTTGCAAAACAAAAAGTCATATTAGGACTAAGAGGGTCTCCCTCTCTAAATGAAGGTAGAGCCAGACGTAGCTTTAAGTGGTAAAGTATGCAGTGTTGTCTGGTTTCGTAATATATCTGAAAGCACCATATTTAGTGGGTGGAGGATTGAGTGAGCAGAAGATGCAGAAGTGCTTCCCTGGATCTGCTTGGGATTTCAACAGAGAATCATGCAAGACTGACTTCCTTCATTATCTTCAAGCTGTTCGGATAGTATAGTTCGGACAATAAAATAACAATGCAGTCCTGACAGACATTTTTCTGTTGTTCCATGTCCAAATGAGTGCACTATTTCTCTCACTGAATTAAATTAAACTGATACACATTATCCTTACACACTGAAGGACATTTTTCTTCCCTAAAAATTCTTCAAACTTAACATTCCAAACAGAGGGACATAGGAAATATCGTTCAGCTCATTTAAAGGGCACCAAGTCACATCTTAAAGATATTTTATTAAGAAATTAAATACAATAGCAGGCGAGACGTGACAAAAAAACGGGGCACATTTCTACTCGCGTCACACAATATTAAGTCAAAGACATGACATAATATAACTCCGCGACAGCTGGCAACTGTAACATAGGTTGACCCTAATACGGGAAATCTGGGAAATTCTGATGGATGGACACAAAATCCGAAATTCTCGTTTGCGCCACGATCTGATGAACTTGTGTGACCTCACGCGCCAACGTCAATCATCCGCGTGCGTCAAATAACGGGAAGAAGATAAACCCCGTTTTGTGAATAAAGCACACACACACACACACACACACACACACACGCAGACACACACACACTAGCGACAAGTTACATTTAAATGTCTTATTCAACTTGCAATTGGTGTTTATTAAATTTTTGCATGAGAGCGTTGCATGTGTGTGCATATAATGTATATATATATATATATATATACTCTTTAAAGTGAGCACTTGACAATAAACATAAATAAATAAAATAAAATAAAAATAAGGGTTTTCAAAAAAAATAATGGATGTATGGATTTCAAGATACATTTTTTTATTATACATTTTAAAATGATAAAGACTGCAATTTATCACAGAACTGGGCTAATACTCAACACCCCACTTATAAATGTTTCAGGGAAATACAATATCATACAATTTCATAAAAAGGCCTGTTTAAAATTTTCAGAACCAAATCAAATTCAAAACAAAGAACAAAATTAAAAAATGTTAGGTCTAAATTGCATGAAATATAATGTAGGATTACAGTAAAATAACACTTAATAATCATAAGAAGGGGCAAGGCGCTGGCTCAACTTACCCCATGACTTTTGGCTCAAATGACCCCACTTCTACCATTTTAACAAACTTGTATCTTCCAGAAGATTAGAGCTAACGTCATGCTAACAGTATTACAAACCACAAACACGTGTGATATTTTTCCAGATTTGTCTGCACTGTAAAAAAGAAAATCGGTGACATTTACGGTAAAATACCAGCAGCTGTGTTTTCCAGAATTTCACTGTAAAAAATACGGCAGCAACATTTTAGGTTTTACAGACTTAACTTAAACTCACAATAAAATACCGTATTTCATTAATTGATGTAATGTTAATAAACCAACATATTGAAGTACTAATATCTGTTTTGAACCATTGTAATGCACTGATAACCACCAAAAACTGGTGTTGATGAGAAAGCCACGTGAAGAACCAAAGCTCATCACAATCAGCTTTTCTACGAGCTGAGGAGCGCAATACTTATAAATAGAAGGTGCACAGTGCCATTCACACAAACACTAAACACCATCATGGTGACACACATGATACTGAAATAATGCAATAAACATTCATTTAACAACACTACATGTAAGATTAAACTAGGGCTGCATGATAAATCGCATGCGATATTTAACGCGCATCTTTTCAGTAAAGCCGGTTCTGTAATCAGTGGTAAATCTCCATCACGTGCGTGCTTTCACATTGAGCAGCATTAACTACACAGAGCCGTTGTTCACTGACGAGCTGCGCAAAACCACGTTCATATTCGCGCGATTTTTTGCGCAGCTTGTCAGTGAACAACGGCTCTGTGTAGCTAATGCTGCTCAATGTGAAAGCCCGCAGGTGATGAAGATTTACCGGCTTTCTGACAAGATGCGCGTTAAATATCGCATGCGATTTATCGTGCAGCCCTAGATTAAACCCTAGTGTACACAACTGATAAAAAAAAAAAACTAAGAAGAAACACGTTATTTCAACAAAAAAACATCAACTATGAAGTGTCATGCAGGGAATTCTGGGAGTGTCAATTTACAGTTTGTCACTGTAAATTATACAATGACTTTTTCTTTTTCACGTCCAAAAACCGTATTTTTAACAGTATTTTACTGTAAAATCACATTACATGTAATTACATTTATTCACCGTATATAGTATGGAAACTTACTGTTAACCAGTTAACAGGTTTTTACTGTAGCGTTTTTACAGTCTTTTACTGTTAAAATCACAATCATTTTTTTACAGTGTGTAACTGTTACACTTTTTGAAGTTACCAATTGTTCGTGGGCCTCTCTTCGTCACAGAGTGAGTACAACTATTTGTAGTCACATCACTAATTTTGTTTAAGGTTAGAAACAAGGGGTGGCTCAACTTATTATTACTATTATTTCAGAATGTGATCAGTAATCATGCTAGACATTAGTAACTGGTTTAATCCAGGGATGTCAGTGGTCATTGTGAGGTCAAGAGGCACCAGACGTCAGAGCACTACCTAATTCTCTTTCTGCAATACTGCGATTCACAATATTACTCATATTTTAATGTACTAACGTAAAAGCAATGACAAAATATCAATAAACGACCTAAATAATGAGGGCATGTTGACTAAGTCGGGGCAAAAAGTCTACAATGGGCGGAGCTCAGATGCGAATAAAAAGCAGGGCCGTTCAGTCTGAGCGCACACTGTCCTGACACTAGAGCCTTCTCATCAGGTTAGCACTTTCTCTCTTGTCAGGTTTTCGTCTCAGCCGTTTGTGAAGTCCAAAGGCAGCTGGTCTTTGGAAGCAACTTGATTGGGGAAATCCAGTACGCGTCTGTTTCTGTCCGCTGAAGATGAGCCGCTCGCGCTGTGTTGCTCTGCTGCTGTTAGTGCTCTTACTAACGTAAAAGCAATGACAAAATATCAATAAACGACCTAAATAATGAGGGCATGTTGACTAAGTCGGGGCAAAAAAGTCTACAATGGGCGGAGCTCAGATGCGAATAAAAAGCAGGGCCGTTCAGTCTGAGCGCACACTGTCCTGACACTAGAGCCTTCTCATCAGGTTAGCACTTTCTCTCTTGTCAGGTTTTCGTCTCAGCCGTTTGTGAAGTCCAAAGGCAGCTGGTCTTTGGAAGCAACTTGATTGGGGAAATCCAGTACGCGTCTGTTTCTGTCCGCTGAAGATGAGCCGCTCGCGCTGTGTTGCTCTGCTGCTGTTAGTGCTCTGCGGAGCCGCAGAGTTTGCCGAAGCCTGCAGCTGCTCTCCTGAACATCCTCAGCAGGCGTATTGCAATGCGGATGTCGGTAAGATGCCATGCTTTTAACTGTTTCATATCCATAACCGTGTCATCAGTACAATGTCGTGTGCGTATTTCAGCACGTCTATGTTATACAGCTTCTTTTATTCTAAAAATATGGTCAACTTTTAAGTGGGTTTCATTTGGACTGCGTTCAATAGTAGCTATTTCATTTCAATGTTGAAAAAACCAGCATATGCTGGTTGGGTATGTTTTGATGCTGGTTTATGCTGGTCCTTTTGCTGGTTTATGCTGGTCCTTTGCTGGTCCTTTGCTGGTTTATGCTGGTTTATGCTGGTCATGTGCTGGCAAAGGACCAGCATAAACCAGCAAAAGGACCAGCATAAACCAGCATAAACCAGCAAAAGGACCAGCATAAACCAGCATAAACCAGCAAAAGGACCAGCATAAACCAGCATAAACCAGCAAAAGGACCAGCATAAACCAGCATAAACCAGCAAAAGGACCAGCATAAACCAGCATAAACCAGCAAAAGGACCAGCATAAACCAGCATAAACCAGCAAAAGGACCAGCATAAACCAGCATAAACCAGCAAAAGGACCAGCATAAACCAGCATAAACCAGCAAAAGGACCAGCATAAACCAGCATAAACCAGCAAAAGGACCAGCATAAACCAGCAAAGGACCAGCTTAAACCAGCAAAAGGACCAGCTTAAACCAGCATCCCAGCGTCAAAACATACCTAACCAGCATATGCTGGTTTTTTCAACAGGGATGCCAAAGGAAACCAGCAATTTTATATAAGATTTCATTCATAGTAGTGGACAGAACCACAGATGTAGATACCTCTAGGGTCAGAATGTTCAAAATGTTTATGTGCTAATGTTATTAATATAACTGGGCTCTCAAAAGAACACAACAGAGCACACCACGTTTTCCATCTTGAAAAAAGTGTAGCATTTTAGCTTAGATTTTTCTTGACTATATATTTTACAGAGTCCTTGTGACTCGATATTTATAGGCTACTTATTATAGCAGTAACAGTAAGTTATCCATAATTACTAACAACTATAATAAGTGCATGTTGTTAATTAATGTTGTGAACTCACAGTATAGTTCCTTTTTTCTTCTTGTGTTAATATTTCTAGATAATCCAGTTAATTAAATACCATAGAAAGGTACTTTATATCTCATTTGATTATTTTTCTCTCTTTTTTGGAGCTTCATGGGCAAAAGCTAAAGGATAAGACTATTCGTAACAAATAACTGTTGAGTCTCACGTTATACAATAAGTGAGTTATAAACAAAAGACTCCAAACAATACAATGAACTAACATGATTAAAAAAAAGGCGGTTCTGACGTTAAGCTCTGATTGGATGAGTCACGTCCATAAGTCATTCTGAAATAATTTAACACACCTGTTCAGTTCTATGTAACGGTACATCAAGGTGGGACATTACTTGGCAACAATAAATAACCACAAAAACTAGCCTTCACGCCGTGTCTAATAACAAGTTCTGCTAAGTCTTAACACACACATCCTACTCTTTATATTTGCGTTATTCACTTTATATTCATCACTCTAAAAGGTAAATGATATTAAGCAGTCTTGTCCACTGATAGCTGTGCAAATATGTACCACTTTTCATTCTTGGACATATAATAATGTTGAAGTGATGGGAGAGAATCTTAGACTTAATTTGAGCTGTCACTGTGTTTAACCTGCCTCTGATCTGGCTGTGATGCTCTGACATTCAGTGCCCCTTCAGTATTACATGACCTATGCATTTTCCATTGTTTGTAGTTGTAGTTAAGAGACCTCTTTCAACAGACTGATTACAGCTTCAAAAATTGAGAAAGTATTGCCACATGCTAGCAACATATTGTGGTGTGCCTTTGGCGTTAGTTAGACGGTCATTACATGACTTGCGATGGCGAGACTTGGGTTACTGGAGTCAGTCACGGTCATGGCGTACCCCAAAACCGCCCACCCACCTATGCGTTTAGTGATTTGCTGAAAACAACATCTGGTGCCCACCACAGGAATTGGCAATCTCATTCATGAATGCAGCACCGTGATGCTAGCTGTTTAAAACTCCCACATGACCTTGGCCTGATGGTTTTTACATTCAACCTACACTCTTAAAAATAAAGGTGCTTAAAAGGTTCTTCAAGCGATGCCATAGAAGAACCATTTTTGGTTCCACAAAGAACCATTCAGTCAAAGTTTCTTTAAAGAACCATCTCTTTCTTGCGTTTTTGTAATCTGAAGAACCTTCTTTCGTCACAAAGAACCTTTTGTGAAACAGAAAGGTTCTTCAGATGTTAAAGGTTCTTTAGGGAACCATTTAGACAAAATATGTTCTTCTATGGCATCTTATTTTTAAGAGTGTAGTCAAGTTATATTTATTTACAATACAGAAGACAATAGTGACATTATTCAGCTTAATTTAGTTCAACGTGGATTCAATTTAGTTTCAATAAGAGTGTCAGTGTTGTAAAGTTCATCCATTATGAAACGAGTTCAGGTTATCTGTAAAGCAGCTCTACAAGGCAATGGTGTCAGTATTCAGCTCAGTGTTGATTCAGTTCAGTTTAATGACAGTGTCGAACGTATAATGACACCACGCACAATGGCTCTCAGAAAAAAGTTGTGAGTTTAACGTTTCCTGCAATAGATGTTTAGAGGTGACTTGTAGGTTCCCCTTAACATGTGCACGGTATCCCACGTGACCTTCAGAGCCCGTAAATGAATAATGCGGAAGGCTCTCGTTTCCCCTCGCATACCTGGAGCTGAAAACAGCACCCACACTGTGTGTGTATCTTCCGCCTCGGCGTGGAACGAATGTGTGGAAAAGGGAGGCTGTGATTAAACCAGCATAAACCCTGTATGTGTGTGTAGTTACTGATGAGAGAGGCATGCCTCACTTGAGACTGGGATCCTGTGGGTGTACTGAGTGTGTGGCCAATAGAAAAGACGCTCTGTGTTTGGGCTTAAATATGCGGACGGTATGTATGGGCTCTCTGAATACTCCAATATATAACGGGAAAGTGTTTTATAGGGATATTTTATCTTTCTTATTCCTATACACTACCATTTAAAAGTTTGGGGTCAGCAAGATATTTGACTGTTTAGATATTTGACCGAAATATTGGTATATTACAATTTAAAATAGCGGTTTTCGATTTTAATATATTAAAAAATGCAACTTATCCCTATATGATGAATTTTCAGCATCATTACTCAGATTTGCTGCTCAAGAAACATTTCTTATTATTATCAGTGTTGAAAACAGTTGAGCTGCTTCATATTTTTGTGGTCACCCATGATAATTCTTTTGATAACACTTCATTTTAAAGGCCAATTCTCACTCTTAACTAGTTGCTTATTAACATGCATATTACGAGCATATTGTCTGTTTGCTAGTATTAAGATAATAGATCCCTTAATCCTACCCCATATCTAAAGTTAACTACTATCTTACTAACTATTACCAGTAATAAGCAGCAATTTAGGAGTTTGTTGCCCATGATAATTCTTTTGATAACACTTCATTTTAAAGGCCAATTCTCACTCTTAACTAGTTGCTTATTAACATGCATATTACGAGCATATTGTCTGTTTGCTAGTACTTAAGATAATAGATCCCTTAATCCTACCCCATATCTAAAGTTAACTACTATCTTACTAACTATTACCAGTAATAAGCAGCAATTTAGGAGTTTGTTTACTCTTTAATAGTTAATAGTAAATATGTGTCACCATTCTTTTTTTCCAGGATTCTTTGATTAATAGAAAGTTCAAAAGAACAGAATTAGTTTGACATAGGAAGGTTTTTAACATTTATAAATGTTTTTACTGTCATTTTTGATCAATTGAATGCATCCAGGTGAATAAAAGTATTAGTTTATTAAAATCTTACGGACCCAAACTTTGGGGAAAGTTACTTTTAAAAGTAATGCATTACAATATTGCATTATTGCAATATTGCAAAAGTAACTAATCGCGTTACTTAGTTACTTTTTATGGTGTTACATTAGTTTTGCGTAACTTTTTCTCACCTGGGTTGGACTTGCTAACAAAAAATAAATAATAAAAATGACACTGTTATTTAAAACACATGCACACACGTGCACGCACACACACACACACACAAATGTGATGTTTAAGTTTGCTTATTTGTATGGTTGAATTGGACCATCAAAGGTCAGCAGTGAGATTAAATACATAAAGTATATTTGTGTTATTCAACAGATTTGATTATTGCAGATTTGCATCATAATCTGTTTTTGAGCTCAGATATTTTGTTGTAAATTAAAAAGTAATCTGTTTACTAGTTACTTGAAAAAATTATCTGATTACGTAACTCACGTTCCTTGTAATGCGTTACCGTAACACTATAGAAAACACATAGCAATGTTATAGATCCCCCTCAGAACATCCGAGCAACTGCATAGCAGCATGCTATCGACCTTTCTAAGGCAAAGCAATGCCTTAGCGAGGCACAGAACACTATGGGAACCACCCAGCAATGCTCTAGCAACCACCTTAGCAATGCGGCGTAAGCAGCGCTCATGGAAAAGTCTAGTCTTTCAATGTCTGTTTTGTTCAAAGCATGTGATTCTGAGTTTGCTTATTAATGGAGAGATGAATTTGGACTGAGTATTTGGTATTTGTATGTCAGCAGCTCTATGGGGAACAGGCAGTGTGAGGGTGGAGATTAAAGCGGTAGGGCGAGCGGGGGGCAAACTGCCTGCTAGAGTCAGACTGCTGACTGGCTTCCTGAATATCAGGCTGGGAGTACATTCCTCGCACTGCCCTCCGCTAATCAAATACTCATGTGTCTCTATACACACAACACTCAGCACCTGTAGTACAGAGCAGAATAACAGCAGCTAGATAAATCACCTTACTCTGTAATTGAAGGATAACACCCATTTAGGCCTACAGTGGGGTAAAATGCACAAGAAACATTAAATTCAAAGTTAAATTGTTTATATTTGAATGGGGTTTTCTCTCTTTGTTATTGCAGTGATCAGAGCCAAAGTAGTCGGACGAAAGGAGGTGGTAACCGGCAATGATGTCTATGGCTATCCAATCAAAATGATCCAATATGACATTAAACAGATAAAGGTTAGTGGAGTATATTTGTTTTGTTGTTTCAATCCTACACTGATTTTATTTTCATGAAGCTAAACACAATACATAATGCTATGTTGGCATTATGTCGGAATTACCTTAATTATGACATGTATAGAGTTACTGCGATGCTCCAAGTTGCTACATAGCCTCATTAGAAAAACATTTCTCCAAAACTCCAAAAACGTACTTATATTTATAATTGAATGCCGTTTACGGCTCAAATGAACTCTAGTAGCAGTAAAACTCTTAACAACTTTCAATCATTTTCAAAGAAATTATGATAACGGGCAGTTTATTGATTAATAAAGACTTATTTTTGCACAGTTCCTTGCACAATACTATGTAATGTCCTCAAAACAAAATTTGTAAACTAATACGTGTTGACATTTGCAACACTATCTCCTTGTGTGTGACTTTTCTGGCATAGTAAACTTGCTTGAAAGCTCACCTGGTACAGCATTGCACTTAGGAAAGCACTTAGGAATGGACTTGGGCTACAATAAAAAAAACTCAAACACTTGTAGAAGCAAGATAAAACAGCATGGTTAGGTTTAGTGTGGGGTTTCGTTAAGGTGGTATGCTATATACAAACGCAACTCACCGGACATTTATTTTCCGAACTGCTGCGACACATAAAACAACCATTGTAATGAAACTTTGCCAGATTCAAGCTCATCTGTTTCGGATAAAACTAAATATGCTTTTAGCACTACTCTCTAGACATTTCACTTTGAAAGCGTCACGAAATGCGCAATAAAGCAACCTAACATCATTTTGCCACAGGCGCATTTGCACAAGTTGACAAACAAAGAAGGCATACCAAATCAAATTTTTTAAATACTAGCGCCACAAAGACTTCAAAATCGTACCAAATCGTAATATTTTAATGACAGTAATCCAGACACGTGGATGCAGCATGTTTACAATGTTAAACCAAAAGAAAAAGTCAAGAATCTGTCTCTTGACTTCTTCGTGCCATCTTCTTTCACTAGATGTTTAAGGGCCCTGATGGAGAGATTGATACCATCTTCACGGGCCCCTCCTCAGCTTTGTGCGGGGTCAATCTCGAGAACAATGGCAAAAAGGAATACCTGATTACTGGTAAGAGTGAATAACTATGTTGTGAAAGAATAGTGTTCAAGAAACAGCATTTGCTTCTGTAAACTGTCGAAGTGGTAGCTTTATACCAACACCATCTCATTAATCTGCACAGGTAATATGGATTCAAATGGCACATTGCGTATAAATCTTTGCGACTACATTGAATCTTGGGAGTCTCTGAGTATGACACAGAAGAAGAGCTTAGGTCAGCGCTACCAGATGGGCTGTGATTGCAAGGTATTGCTATCTATCTATCTATCTATCTATCTATCCATCCATCCATCCATCCATCCATCCATCTATCCATCTATCCATCTATACATATTTCCATCTATCCATACATCTATCCATCTATACATCTATCCATCTATGCATCCATCTTTACATCTATCATCTATCCATCCATCTATCCATTCATCTTTCCATCTATCCATTCATCTATCCATCTATCCATCCATCTATCTAACTATCCATCTATCCATCCATCTTTCCATCTATCCATCTATCTATCCATCCATCCATCCACCCATCCATCCATCCATCCATCTTTCCATCTTTCCATCTATCCATCCATCTTCCATCTATCCATCCATCCATCCATCTTTCCATCCATCTATCCATCCTTCTTTCCATCCATCTATCCATCCATCTTTCCATCCATCTATCCATCCATCTTTCCATCCATCTTTCCATCTATCCATCCATCTATCCATCTTTCCATCTATCTATCAATCCATCCATCCTTCCATCCATCTTCACGTTCTCACAGTTCTTCTCCTCTTGTCGTTGTGCAGGTCGTCCAGTGTCCCATGATTCCCTGTTCCATTAACGACCCCACAGAGTGTCTTTGGACTGACTTCCATCCATCCATCCATCCATCCATCCATCTATCCATCTATACATCTTTCCATCTATCCATACATCTATCCATCTATACATCTATCCATCTATGCATCCATCTTTACATCTATCATCTATCCATCCATCTATCCATTCATCTATCATCCATCTTTCCATCTATCCATCCATCTATCCATCCACCCATCCATCCATCCATCCATCTTTCCATCTTTCCATCTATCCATCCATCCATCCATCCATCTTCCATCTATCCATCCATCCATCCATCTTTCCATCCATCTATCCATCCATCTTTCCATCCATCTATCCATCCATCTTTCCATCTATCCATCCATCTATCCATCTTTCCATCTATCTATCAATCCATCCATCCTTCCATCCATCTTCACGTTCTCACAGTTCTTCTCCTCTTGTCGTTGTGCAGGTCGTCCAGTGTCCCATGATTCCCTGTTCCATTAACGACCCCACAGAGTGTCTTTGGACTGACTGGGTGCTGGAGGGAACAGTTCAGGGGACCCAGGCTCAGCACTACACCTGCATTAAGAGGAGCGACAGCAGCTGTGCCTGGTACCGTGGATCTGCCCCTCCTACAAAAGAGTTCATGGACATTGAGGACCCATAAGCAAGCCCTCAGCTTGATCACTCATTCAGAAACCCCCCCACAACACAGCTTACCTTACCTTAAACTCACACCTTAATTCTGCAAATGCATTCTAGAGCTCATGAAACCTGTCAAGAACATGTTTGGATCACCCCAAATTCAAAAGAAAAAGATAATATAGATGGTAATATTTTTGTATGAATGACTGAATTAAAAGAAATAATGAATATTTTGCATAAAGAAAATAAAGTTTGAAAGAATGTAAAAATGCCTGTCCTCTGGATTTTTTTATTATAGTATTACGAATATATATTCTCATTATCGTATTACAGTATTTTTAGATCATAGAGAATTACAAACAAACTTATAAGTAACACATCCGAACACTCTACGATGGGATGAGGATTATGCTGGAAATATAATGTTTTACATTTTTCTTTTGATTTTAGGGTGAATTATGATGAAGTAATTCTGTAGCATGACAGGATGCATACATTTGGTTGCATTTTAATATATCAAGTGAATCTTACCTCTAGTGTTGAAATATTTTTTATGACAGGCAGAAAAGTTCTCTTAAGCACTTTGAGAACGTTGTGAAGTGTTTTTGTAATATTTTTGCTCTCCAATAAAGAGGAAATTGGTTACAACATTGTTTTTCACTTCCTCAAGCACAGATTGAGTAAAGAGTTCTTGATATTTTATGTTGCCATTATTATTCTTACAGTGCAAAGCAGAAAGACTGAAGTAATTGTGCCATGAAGGAAATTCTGTTGAAATTGTCATCATAAAGAAAAAAATGCTCTTTTATAATTTGAGATACACTACCAGTCAAACCAGTTGGACACACTTGACTAAATTTGTTTCTCAGTTTAAATTAAATTACTTTTTAACACACAAACAGAACATAGTTTTTTGTGTGTTATTTCATAGTTTTGACTTAACTATTATTTAAAAATTGAGAAAATAGTAATGTGTGTATATATACTGTATATATATATAATAAAGTAGACCTAATAGTCAGAATCAGTAGGTGTGTCCAGACCTTTGCTTGATAGTGTACACTATATAGTATACGATAGTGAAAGTGAATTGAATTCATGGGTGTGTAAATCATAAGTAAGATGAAAATTCTATGTAGCAACATGCATAGATCTGGCAACGATGTATGTATTTTGTAATATATACAGGATTTTCTAATTTATATCAAAACTATCTTCTTTGAATGTGTCCACAAAATATATGCAGTTTTTTTGGTAAGTTGAAGTGGTTAAATTAGTGAATGCTCTAGACTCTGCATTCCTCAAAGAAAACTGCATTTATTGAGAGTTATGTCTAGTAAGGTGTAGAAATTGTTTTTTACCCATGATACTTTTTGTACATTTGTGTTCTTTCCCAACTTTTTTTGAAGTAGTGTGAGATTTCCAGTGCTGGAACCATTGGGAAGACTTGTCGAGAGCTAGCCTTTGCATGCCTTTTAAAGTGAATTGATACTCATT